CTCTATTGTGACAATGTGAGTGCCACTTATTTAAGTAGCAATCCAGTTCTGCATTCCCGGATGAAGCACATTGCAGTGGATCTTCATTTTGTGCGTGACTTGGTTGACAAAAAGGTTCTGCGCGTCTCCCACATTGCTTCCACTGACCAACTTGCTGATGGGTTCACTAAGCCTCTTCATTCTACCAGATTTACCTGTCTGCGGGACAAGATTGGAGTTGCTGATGGCACCTCCATCTTGCGGGGGCGTGTTAAGGAAACCAAATCTGTATTATAGCAGATTTATATTCAGTTAAAGCTCACATTCATTCTCTGTATAAAATCCAAGATTGTGATTCACTTACCTTATGTGGTAGGACTCCAACTGTATATATACTCTTGATATATTCTTGAATAAACAAGTTCTTTTGATACTTTAAACCAACATGCCACACCCACCACTGAGATGAGAAATTGATAACTTTCAAGTAGCAGTTCAGCTAATTCCTGCACTTTATCATCCAGTCCAACAAGGCCTGACTCATTGGCCTTAACATCAGAGAATATTCCCCACCTATGTTTAACTTTTAGATTTGAAAACTTTTCATGCAGCAACTCTTTTCCACAAACTGTTCCAAAGCCCCTGGAAGAGTTGGTTTGCCAAGCCACATCATCCTCACGCACAGTTAGAATCACCCGGCTTCCATTCATGAGGTTGGGAAAGGCTCCTTTGAGCTTGTCCCAAACATCAGCCGTCCAAACATCATATAAAACTATAAGGTACCTCTTCGGAGCTAGGAAATTGCAGAGCTTCGTTTTTAGTGTCACTAGGTCTCGGTCTTTTTCTTCTAACTTATCATCGGTAACTTGTTTCAAAATACCAGCTAGAAGATTTTGAAGACCTTCTTCATCTCCTTCCTTAAACTGTTTTGAAACACGAACCCAGACACGGTATTGGAACAGGTGCTTAATATCCTCCGCACTGTACATTGCCCGCAAGAAAGTTTTCTTCTCTGATTCTGCCACCCCAACAATTGTAATGAGAAACAACAATTTACACTGACTTAAGATTGACTGGGATAACTCAGTGATAATATCTTTCATGCCAAGAATTCTAGATTCCTCCAGCAAATAATCTTTAGACTGCCCCAGCTGTTGGCTTGACCATTCCTTTGAAACATTGGTTGAAGTGATTCCTTTACAGATGAGGAGCACTCGGCTACCATTCAATGAGTAGGGAAAAGCAGATTTGAGACTGTTCCAAACATCGTCTCTTAGTTCACCATATAAAACTATCAGGTACCTTTTAAAAACTAAAAAATCATGAAGCCGCTTCCTCAATAACTGATTTGACAGCCCAGATGCTTCCTGCTTAATAGAAGGAACTTGTTTCAAAATATCACTTAAGATATTTCTTTCTCCTGACTCTTTAGATGTTAAAAATCAAGGATTCCCGATAAGAAGAAGATGGAATGAAAAACTGAATCTCTTATTAAACTGAAAATAATCTAACCTTTAAATAGGTTTTACAAGATAATATTATCTAAAAAGATAACTAACCAATCTTATCTAATCAAATTTAAATGATAACAACTTAAAACAAATAAATAACTTAAACTTCCTAAATTATAGAGAGAATGGCTAAATAATAGGATTTAATTTCCAACAATCCCTCCCTTAAATTGAAAGTTTTCAGACTTTAGTTTAAAGAAATCTAGATAACACCATATCTACAGATCTGCAATCTAGAATCTGCAGACCCTCCCTCAAACTGAATTCTGCATGCTGCAAACACCAAGTAACTCTCTCAGTTTTGAAAAAACTGCTACTTTGAGGGGTTTTGTGAATATATCAGTCACTTGATCTTCTGTTCTGCAATAAATCAACTCAATTGTTCCATCTTCTACCAAGTTGCGCAAGAAATGATACCTCACATGTATATGCTTGCTTCTCCCATGCAAAACTGGATTTCTAGAAAGCTTGATGGCTGAACTGTTATCAAAATCAATTGAAGTGGCCTCATGTTGATTCAGCTCAAGTTCTTCCATAATTCTTCTCAACCAAATAGCTTGACAAGCACAAGAAGTTGCTGCCACATACTCCGCTTCTGTTGTGGACAAAGTCACAATGGGTTGCTTCTTTGAAGACCATGAAATTGCACCAGATCCCAGCATAAAAACAAACCCAGAAGTGCTTTTTCTATCATCCAGATCTCCAGCATAATCACCATCTGTAAAGCTTGCAAGATCTGTCTGGTCACCCTTCTTGTAGAATAGTCCAAAATCTACAGTTCCACATAAATACCTGAAAATTCTTTTAGCAGTCTGCAAGTGCAACTCCTTTGGATGGTCCATATATCTGCTAATCAGACTTACACCATGCATTATATCTGGTCTTGTTGCTGTCAGATACATCAGACTTCCAACAATCTGCTTATATAGTTTGCTATCCATAGATCTACCTATTGAATCTTTCACGAGCTTTACACCTTTATCAACTGGTGTAGTGACAGAATTGTAGTTCTTCATTTGAAATCTATTCAGAACTTCCTGCACATATTTTTTCTGACAAACAAAAATTCCAAAATCTGACTGTACTACTTCCAGACCAAGAAAATAATGCAACAAACCCAGATCTGTCATTTCAAATTCAAGCTTCATGGACTGCTTGAACTTTTCCAACATGCCAAAATCATTCCCAGTATAAATTAAATCATCAACATATAAGCATACTATAATCAATTTACCCCCATCTCCAAATTTAATGTAAAGTGTCTGCTCATAAGGGCACTTTTGAAAACCTTCCTTCAAAAAATAAGCATCAATTCGACTATACCAAGCTCTAGGTGCTTGTTTTAGTTCATATAATGCTTTCTTCAATCTGTACACCTTATGCTCAGAACTAGATTTCACATAACCAGGAAGTTGATCAATAAATACCTGTTCTTACAAATTTCCTTACAAGAAGGCAGATTTCACATCAAGCTGGTAGATCGACCATGTGTTCTGTGCTGCCAATGCAATCACTAATCTAATGGTATCCATCCTTGCAACTGGAGCAAAAACTTCTTGATAATCAATGCCAAACTCTTGCTTGTAACCCTTTGCCACTAAGCGAGCTTTGAATTTGTCAACCGCCCCATTCTCTTTGAGCTTTGTCTTATAGATCCACTTAACACCAATTGTTTTGTGCCCTTCTAGAAGATCTGTCAACTTCCAAGTCTGGTTCCTTTCAATAGAACCAATTTCTTCTGCCATGGCTTTTTGCCACTTTTCTTCTTTAACAGCTTCTTCATATGTCAATGGATCACAATCTACAAATAAAGCAAAATGATTAACTGGAACATCATCTTGAAGTAGATCTGTTACCTCATAATCTTCTAACCATGCTAGTCTTCTCTTTTTGCGTTGAGGTCTGGAACTAGTTCCAGATTCCAGTTCTGGTGTTGTTGGCAAACTTCCTCCAGTACTGAGCTCTACTTCTGTAGGCAAACTTTCTTCAGTTGTCTATCTTGAAACCTCGAGATCTGCTGAAGTTTGACCTTCTGAGTTCTGACCTTCTAAGTTCTGCACAGTCAGATCTTCTCCATTTTCGAAATCTGCAGGAATTTGTTGCCCAGATTTTTTTGTCCAAGACCAAGAGCTTGCTTCATCAAACACGACATCACGGCTAATGATGACCCTTTGTCATCAAGCTTACTTCTTTTTTGATCTGGCACATGTGCATATGCTATGCACCCAAAAATTCTGAAGTAATCAATAGTAGGTCTACATCCACTCCAAGCCTCTTCTGGCGTCAAATCTGGAAGTGGAGATGTGGCACTTCTGTTCAAGATATGAACACTCCAATTAACAGTTTATGGCCAAAACTCCTTAAGCAAGCCGCTCTTTGACATCAGACTTCGCACCATATTCATGATTGTGCGATTCCTCCTCTCACATACACCATTCTACTAAGGTGTATAGGCTGCTGTGAGTTGCCTTTTAATGCCATTGGACTCACAAAAATCTGCAAATTCCTTTGAATTAAACTCACCGCCACGATCTGTACGCAGAACCTTTACAGATCTGCCAACCTCATTCTCAGCCAAGACTTTGAAATTTTTAAAGGCTGCTAAGGCTTCTGACTTGGTCTGCAAAAAATACACCCATGTTTTGCGACTGTAATCATAAAAAAAGGTAATAAAGTATTGTTTACCTCCATTGGATGTTGGATTTATGGGTCCACACATATCAGAATGAATCAGATCTAGCACTTGCTTTGCTCTCCAAGATCTGTCTTTAGGAAAGTTGTCACGGTGCTGCTTACTGATCACGCAGATTTCACAAATTTCTGAAGGAGAATCAAAATGAGAAAGACCATTTACCATCTTCTTTTGTTGCAAAGCTTTCAACCCACCAAAATAAAGATGTCCAAATCGACAATGCCATAACCAAGCTATGTCCTTTAATTTGGCAGATAAACATGACAAATTTGTGGTCTGCAAGTATAATGGAAACAACCTATTTCCCGTCATCTTGACCTTTGCAATCAGGCCAAGTTTTGAATCACGAATTTGGCAAACTCCATCTTTAATAAGGATTTCATATCCTTTTTCTTGAAGCTGTCCCAGACTAAGCAGATTTGACTTCAAATCTGGTACATACAGAACATTAGAAATAGTCTAAATTGAATTGTCTTTGGCACGAATGGTTACCTTTCCCCTTCCTTTGATTGCAATAGTTGAATTATCACCAAATTTCACCTTGTCTTGACAAGACTCATCCAAATCTGAAAATGCAGATTTGTCTCCACACATGTGGTTGCTGCAACCAGTATCCAGATACCACACATTCTTCTTGCTGACTTCTTTAGGATGACAGACCATGAATAGAGAGGAATCGTCATTCTTCTCATTGTGTTCTGCAAAATTAGATCTTTCTCCTCTATTCAGATTAGCACGGCACTCAAAACGATAATGGCCATACTTATGACATCTAAAGCATTTAATATTTGCCTTTCCTGCAGATTTGGATCTGTTATCTGCAGGTTGATAATTTCTGCTCTACCACCTCTTCTTAATTCCAGTGGCTGAACTTTCCTCCAATCTGTCAGATCTTGGTCTGCTAGATCTTGGTCTGCCTTTCCAGTTTTCTTTTCCTTGACCTACAGCCCTTGAATTAACTGTGGTCTGCAAGGCTTGTGTCTGCGAAATTTGCACTGCTTGCTCTTGCTTGTCTTGGCAATTTATCTTCCGCTCATGAA